CCTATGTGAAGCTGACTTGGGCAAACAATGACACCAAACCTCCTGCCCGATGCAACCGCCAAGATCCGTGTTACATTGAGTCCCGTCTAGCCGTCCATCATGTGTTTCTTCGTGTCTCGGTATATATCCAGAATCGCCATATACCTTACACTACTATTCCGCCATCGACGCAAATGGCTTGGCCGGTGATATACGACGCTCCGTCGCCCAGCAAGAAAGCAATCAAATCCGCGACCTCCTCTGGCTTCCCGAACCTCCCCAACAAACACGGCGGTGGGCCAAAGTCGGCCTGAGGCGCCGCCAGAGCCTGCGTCAAAATCGGTGTCTCGATGGTCTCACTGCTAGCAATCAGTTTGATACCGGTGCACTCATCTAGCAGATGCACTCACGGACAGACAGCATTCACCCTCAGCCCCCTCCCTCCGAATTCCTTTGCGGCGGTTTTGGTCAGTCCAACAACCGCGTGTTTGCTTGCTACATACGCGCCGTTCATCGGAAGCCCAATCTTCCCCGCCACAGAAGACACATTCACGATACTTCCTCCATCAACCATGTCCGGTATCTCAGCGCTCATCGACTTTCGAACCCCGCCAGCATTGACATCCATCACGAAGTTCCAGTCCTCATCTCCAATGTCGGGGATACGAACGTTGTTACCTTGGGCACCGAGAACGCCCGCCACGTTGGCTGCGCCGTGGAGCGGGCCAAACATTTGAACAGTTTCCGTGATCCAGGCCTTTACGGCATTGCGATCACGAACATCCACAACCTTGGAGTGAATGTTTTCTGGGCCAAAGGCAGTGGAAAGTTTGAGTGTTGAGCTCGCGAGGAGGGCAGAGTTGTTGTCTGAGAGCGACACCTTAGCACCCAGGGACATAAGGCGGCGTGCTGTTGCGAGACCTATTCCAGAGGCTGCGCCTGTAATTGCGATTGTTTTCCCTGATAAAGAAGACATTTTGAATTATATTCGTGTATTTAGGTCTCACTTAGATCTTCGATAGACAGCAGGGGTAAGTGGCAGGTTAATATGGCTCAGCACTTCGGAGCCGAGTTGCCTGCCAGAGAAACACAAGTGAGGTTCCCCCGCAGTGAGGCATAAGAGGTGACGACCGTCCGAAGTCGACAAAGTTTAATCAGACCATGCGCTGTGTCATATATATACTAGTGGGAGGGCGCTCAGCTGAGACATTGACCAAGGCCAAGAATGGGAGGGGGCCGGGCCGGGTCCGGCAAAGGTGGGTCATCCGGCGACAGCTTCCGGACACCAGATCCGGGCAACTCAATTAGTTGTATTCACGCCACTATGCCGCAAAAAGTGCGTTGAAGTCTTCCGAGCCCGTTGGAATAATCGAGCTGAGGGACCTGGGTGGCCACATATCAAAAAGTGGCCCTCGTTTGACTGGCAGAAGCAAAAAGATGCGCCGAGGGGGAATCGAACCCCCGGCTCCCCGACGCTGCTTGATGGCAACGGAGAATTTTACCACTAAACCATCGGCGCGGTGTTGATGATCGTGTTTCGATGCTAGAGACATGCAAGGTTGCGGTATTTCATGTCGAGTTGTGCGTTGGGGTGGAGATGAGGGCATCGTGAAGGATGGGGAAGGCATCCACAGAGGGTCCTTGATGGGGCCCCGTAGGGCTGAGTGAACCCGACTTCATATCGAGAGCCAGGAGAAAAATGATCGAGGATCAACGGGAGAACATTTTTCATACGGTGTCTCGTTAAGGAAAGTTACGGTGGAGACTAGGCAGATTGGAAACCATCCTACCGAATGCCTAGGGCCATATCTTCAGCCTCTACTACCTAGTACTATAACTGACAAGCTAGAGGTCTTCAGACTAGTCTCTCACTCCATTCAAAGTGAGACTGCCTATTTACTCTGTGGCTGCGAGGCTATATCCTGCGTACTTCATTGCCCCTGTCCCGGACGACAAGTAGCGATGACGACGACGACAACGATAGAAGCAACCACGAAGAGTGTAGCCACAGTCAATATAGCAGCGCAGACACAGGAAAATAGGCGGTTTCGTGGACATCCCGGCTTCCCAATCATAATCAAAAATCAACTTGTCGTTCATCCTTTCTAGGTGTTCCCAGTGATACTGGCGAGCGGATAAGCGGCCTGAATCCCTGTGTCACATTTGTTCCCGATTGGCCCGCCACCGATCCTTCAGCAACCTCACCTTCCTGTTCAGGTCAGCTCAACCGCACAGTCAGCCCCCTCGATCCCAATGCGGTACAGCTCCAAGGGGAATGCTGAGATTCAGCCATAAAATGCTCTGTGATGCTTTTAGACAGATGTCTAAACCAACTACTTACTTTTCACATACAACGTGTCATCACACTCAACAACCCAGCATCTCCTCAAGATGACCAGACGTCTAGTTCAGCAGCCGCCAATGTACTCAACATCCCTCGGCGGCACCTTTCGCCCCAAATACCCATCTGTCCCCTTCCAAAATGAAGACATTCAACCCCAGAAGAAAGTGATCATTACTGTTATCAAAGCCAGTCTCCTGATCCCAGGCGACGGCGAACACGTCAAAGACTCCGCCCTCGTCATCGCAGACAAGCTCATCGCCTGGATCGGCCCGCAATCCGACATCCCGTCAAAGTACACCGATGCCCCCCACAGATCCTACACCGTGCCCTACCTCATGCCGGGACTATGGGACTGCCACGCGCACTTCATGATGGGCAGCCCCAACGACGCAGGCAATGGCGACGCGTACCTGGGCATCCTCACCGAGCATCCCTCCGCCATGGGCGCGCGCCTCACCCGCGGCTGCTGGCTGGCCATCCAGCGCGGCTACACCTCCATGCGCGACGTCGCCGGTCTAGGCTGCGAGATCAGCAAAGTCATTGACGAAGGCACCATCGTGGGACCGAACGTGTACAGCTCCGGGTCATGTTTGAGCCAGACGGCAGGACACGGCGACATCTTCTCGCTGCCGGCGGGGGATGTCCTCCTCAACCTCGGCGTCTCGCAGATATCCCCGGGTCATTTTGGAACCTTCTCGACCATGCTCGTTGATGGCGTTGATGAGTGTCGAAAGGCGGTGCGGCTGCAGATCCGTCGCGGGGCCAAGTGCATCAAGATTCTTGCATCGGGCGGTGTAATGTCGCGCGATGATAATCCCCTGTATGCGCAGTTCAGTCCTGAGGAACTGCAAACCATCGTCGAGGAGGCGACGAGACAGGGAAGAGCCGTGGCGGCGCATGTGCACGGCAAGCCTGGCATCCTGGCGGCGGTCAAGGCCGGCGTGACCACGGTGGAACACGTCTCGTTTGCGGACCAGGAGTGCATCGATCTCATCAAGGAGAAGGGGACCATCTACATTGCCACGCGTCTAATCATGGACATGATCATGGACAGCGGCGGCGAGGGCATCCCGAAGTACGCCTACGAGAAGGCCAAGATTTGCGCGGAAAACCACCTGGTGGCATACAAGATGGCCATCGAGCAGGGCCTTCCTATCGCATTGGGCACGGATACAGGACCTGGGTTCAACATGGCCATGGAGCTTGAATCGGCTGTCAAAGCCGGGATGAGCAACCTGGAGGCCATCAAGGCGGCCACAGCGAACGGGCCTTTGAGCGTCGGGAGCCAGGCACCCAAGACGGGGCAGTTGAAGGTTGGGTATGAGGCGGACGTGATTGGCGTGTTGGAGAATCCGGTGGAAGATGTCAAGGTGCTCCAGAAGATCGACAACATCGGCTGGGTGTGGAAGGGCGGGAAGATCTTCAAAGGACCGGGGGTTGGCCCATGGGGGGAGTCTGAATGGTGGGGTGACGAAGCTTCCTTCAGCAGTTGATTGTCGGTCGTTTGAGGACGCCCTTGCTTTCTGCGGGTGTTTGTGAGAACAAGAAATCCCTCCTCATCTTCTTCAAATCAAAAGTTCCGACAAAGACAGAAATGCCCCGATCAAAAGTCTCAGGTTCGAGACCTGTCACTCTGCCAGATAGTGATGAAAGTCTCAGAAACTGCACTTACCCGTTGTGCGGGATCTTGTCTCAACACAGACAAACGGGCCTTCAGCCTCCCTCCACGCAGCTCCAGAAGCGTGTAGATGTCATATTCTTCCCCAGAGAGACCGGTTCTTATGCGTACAAAAGCAGTCTTCTCCCGCAGGTCGCTCATCCATCACCATCCTCAACTCAGCCTTCCTGACTTGACCCAATCATTCCCACTCTCACCAAAGCCGCCAACATGTCCGAACAGCGCCTCGTCTTCCACCCAAGACACTCGCTGGCCTTCCCCACAGATTTCATCTACAACGCAGTCAAGATCGACGATGCAGGTGACGCCCTCGAAGCCGTCTGCCGCATCCTCGGCGGCGAGGCCAAGGTCCACGCAAGCCGTGACACGAGCTCTCCAACCCTCGATCAGGCGACGTACCTCGTCGGCTGGCACGATGCGATCCACTCTCTCCGGAACTTCATCCTCGCCCGGAGAGACCTCCACATGAACAAGAACACGCACATCCACGGCGTTCCCATGTGCATGTCGCTTCCGCTCACGGCCACTATTCCGGAGGCCGCGATTCTGGTCGCGAGCCGGGGCACCGCGTCGGTCTTCAACATTCCCGAAGTCCCGCTCTTTGCCCCCAGTGGAGCCGAGAAGCATGCCGATGACGGCTTCATTGTCGTCAGCTCCTCGTCCGCCACCCCCTTCAACACGCCCACGACAAGCTCTTTCCTCCAGAACACCTCGTCTGCGCCCACCGCCCGAGGCTCCCAAGTCAACACGTCCAACATCCTCGCCGGTATGGACACCAAGACCATCCTCATGAACTACGAGCGCGAGGCCCGCGAATCGGAGCAAAGAATCGCCACTGAGATGGCGAAGATGAGCCTGATGCGCCAGGCCATCTTCAAGGACCGCTTCTTCGGCGAGGTGTCGTCACTCCTAGACAACGGCGGCTTTGTCAACAAGAAGCAGCAGGACTGCGCCGTCGACGCCGTGAACCAGATCTTCCGCAGGTGGAGAGGTGGACAGATGCCGCCGACAACCCGGCCTTCTCACACGGAGCCAGCTGTCAGAAACCTAGGTCTCTTTGGCGGAGCATTGCGCAATTTGCAGAGCAACAGACCGGCAGTGCCTCAGTCGTCCGGCAACGCAGGAACTTTGGGGGGCCCTTCGGTCGGGAGCCCCTTTTTCAGCCCGTCTCAACCCAACACCAGCCAAGCTCCTCCTCGGAGCCAGCCACACCTCTTCAACTATGCCTCGATGCAGTCTACTGCACCGAGAAGCCAGCCCAACCCGACACCACCCGCTCCGCTCCTAGAATGGCAGCTCGACCAGCTTCTGCAGGATCGGAACGACACACACGACCTGAAGGAGTTGTGGCAGTCGTACCAGCCAGGCCCTTCCTTCATCGAGCGCAACGGGGTTCTCCTCCCTCCCCCTGGCGCAAAGCCCTCTGCTGGATCTTCCAAGTCCATCGGATCCTCAGGCCCGCCCCAGACCTTTGGGAGGCGCATGGGGTCCGGCGGTATATCTAATGGTGGCCAGCGTCAGTCCCGACGTGAGCAGTTGGCGCCCAGCAGCATATTCCACATCATCCATTCCACACCCTCTACTATTCCAATCTCAGCCCAGGGTACGCTTTCCCAGGCACCTCGCCAGCAGCCCTCTTCCTCCGGCTCAACCACGGCCCCGTCCCAAGATGTTTCCGAACGCGAGATGGAAGCAATGTACCGCGAGGGCAACCGCCTCCTTGACCTCGACGCCGGCAGCCGCACAACTGCCGACAGATCTACCCGCCGTAGCCAGGTCGAACTCGCCCACCAAGCTGCCCGGGACCTCCGCGCCCGCGTGCGTGCTCGCAGGGCCATGGAGCAGGCGGAGACGTACACCCCCGAAACCAGCGATTCCCTCATGACGGCGCCGTCGCCGTCGCCGACGTCGAGTTCCACGGAGCCCGCGGAGCTGGACGCATGCAACACGCAGCTCGCCCCGAAGACTGCTGCTCCTACGCCTCCCAGCCGGCCTTCTCTCTTCGAAAAAGCTCTCAGCCCGGAGGAGTACAACCCGGCACCAGTCCGGGGAGGTCCTGCTTCCGGCCGCGGGGGCCTCTTTGGGGGAGCTCTCTACAACCCAGCACCAGCCCGGGGCAACGCCACAGACGACACCTCCATTCCAAAGGCCGCCGCCCCTGCTCCCGGCCGAAGTGGCCTTCTTGGTGAATCGGCTCGCATGGCTTATGCCGGAGGTGGTCTCTTCGGTACCAGTCTAACGCCGTCCCAGCAAGGGCCTTCCGGCATCTTCGCCTCCCAGCTTCCATACCACAGCACCAGGGAAGAGTCATCTCGCAGGTCTACAGATGAGGAAGAGGACCCGTAATCGCCAAAACGCAGGTTCTTTGCTAAAGCGGTGCCAGTTGCTATCCGGGGAGTGGTCAATCTCGTCGTCCATCGTCGTTATCCATATGGTCACCCCTATCTCTACTACTGTCGTCCTTGTGGTAAGTATTGGGTACGCTGGGTTATAGGGTTCACCGCCCGGCTAGCAAAAGTCTTTCTAAAACGCAAACAATCTTGTTATTGGGGTATCAAATCGTGTGTATTGTATTCGGACTGAATTCGTTCGCCTTTTTGTGCAATGTCTAGACTTGGGGAAGGTTAGCTTTCGTACATTATCCATAGAAGGAAAAGACCAGAAAAACTCACAAAGCATGTCCACATCCGCCCCCCGTGTTCCTTGTCCTCCCATCTTGAAGCGACTCCTCTTTCCCTCACGCAATGTTGTCCATCTCCACCTCATTATCAGGCTTCCCCTCCTCCACCTCCTCGTCTTCCTCGAGATCTACCACCTGTCAGTAACCATCACCACCACCACCCCGAAACCTAGCACTCACCCGCCATCTCAACCTCCCCATCCTCCGCCATCTTCCTCCTAATCGCATGCGCAATCTTCTTCTCGAGCTTCTTGGCCTTCTTCTTGCTCAGCGGCGCGTTCGGCCCGCTGTTGGGCATCAGCCCCGGCCGCGCGCCCCTCTGCGCGTCGCTCTTGGCGATCTTGTGCTTGTTCTCCTCGGACCGCTTCTGGCGCACCTTCTTGGCCTTGTTCGCCTGCGCCGCGAGGCGGTTCTTGGAGCGGTGGTTCGGGTTCTTGACGGACGGCATCGTGGCGGAGCTGTGTGTGGTGGGTTTTACGGGTGAGGTGTCGGAGGTGAAAGATGGCAGAGATCGCGATTGATAGCGGATTGGATTTGGCGATTGGGATTTTTTTTGGTGGAGCTTGGTGGGATGCGCCGGGCGGTCGGGGTCCAGGCACCGTTCGCCCCGCACCCCTCACCGAGCTAGGTACTCCACAGTACACAGCGCACACCGACCACACCTTGTCTTCACCGAGGTGAGGCGTGCACAGGGAATCACCCGGAGCATATCCAAAGTCTCTGGATCCTGAATGCAAGATTTGACATTGCGATTAATGCATTTCTCATATGACAAAAGATTCCTAGCTATCGATAGAGTTTGCGTCTTGATAAGCGAATTAGATCCTTAACCAAAAAAGGGTTTCATTTCTAGGTCGACGTAACCAGGAGGATTCTTGTTTGTCCAGACGCTTTCCAGCCCATTAAAAAGTATGCGGCAACCGGTTCCAAACGCCAGCCTTCAATGCATGATGCCATCCCTGTCTATAGTCCCACTACCACCGAGCTTTCGCTTTCCGCTCTTATCACCGCGCCACTCGGTCGCTGTTCTTGCCCACCGTGCTCGGGCTACCCAGGCCTTGGTCGTCGTCGGTATCCTCGCGCAGGCCCTTCTGCGCGTCGTCCTCGTCATCGCTCATGAGGCCCTCCAGCTCAAACTCCTCAGCGTCTCGTACTTGGCGGTTCTCCGCACGCCCATTCGCCACCGGTGCGTCCAGGTTGACTTTGCCATCCACGTTGGAGTTACGGTCGAAGAGGTGGATGAGCATGTTGGCGAACAGGAACACCAGGAAGGCAAAGGAGTATAGAATCAAGATGTAGGAAACGTGATCCAGTCCGGAGTTGGCGACGAGTACCATCTGCTCCTCGGTCGCACCCATGAAGAGGAATCCAGAGGCGTACAACAGCTGCGACAGACTTGTCAGAAACGTTCAAAGAGGGCCTTGGGGGTTAGCACTTACGAATACGGGAATGTACTGGAAGCTGTTGGTCTTGCGGCCGTCGGCGGACATGCCGCTGGCGTCCTTGACGACAAAGGCAATCTCAATGATGCGAGTGATGCCGGCGGCCATCAGCGTCTTGCCGAACATGGCGTGGGTCATGGCGCTGATGGGCAGCTCCTGGGGATGCGCCGACATGGCCCAGCCGGTCATGAAGAGAACGAAGCCGGGGATGAAGTTGCGCTGGGGGTTGCCATCGCGATCGCGGCTAAGCCAAACGCCTGCCAGGCCGGCGCACCACCAGATGATGCCCATGGTCGTGTGCTGCCAGTCGTTCCTAACCCATTCGGTACCCCAGCGGTGCTCGGTGAAGGTGTTGACGCAGCCCCACGCGGCAATGACAACGCTGTCGAAGAACTCCTGGGATCGTCCGGATCGTCGGAGCCACAGCTGCCCCACGACAAGCAGCAGGGTCAGGATGATGCCGTAAGCGATGAAAGCGCTTCCCATGATGAAGTGAGCCAGACATTGTCCCAGATGGTCGCCCTGGCAGAAACCCAGCGAAGTGATGCCTCCAAACAAGAATTGGACCCAGCCGAGGACGGGGAAGGCCTTTCCGAGAACTCCGTGGATGGGCTTGATGACCCTGCGAATCTTTCCGTTGAAGCCCTTCTCGAGATGCAATTTCAAGTAGATTCCGACGCCGACCTGGACGGCGAGCATCAACATCAACCATCCGGCGAAGCCCGAGTGAACGTTGCCGTGGACGAATTCTCTACCGCCGTGCATGTGGCCGAGGAAGTAACCGAGGATGGCGAGAGCGGTGCCGAGGACCTGTGTAGGAACATGCCAGCGATTCTTGGTGAGCTAGGTAGGGAGGAGAGGTCATGTTAGCAATCGCGCATACTTTTGGCGGAAGTGTCGGATATTGAGGTGAAGTGGCTTACTCCTAGCACCATGCCGACGGGGAAGATGACCCCGAAGGCCAGCATCATGATGAAGATGTGAATCCATAGTATCGTGTCGATGGGCTCTTGGGAGACTGTCTCGCCCTCCTGGATGTGGCTGACGCCGTGTTCGTGACCGAGAGCCATGGGGAGGGATGTGAGGATGACTGCAGCTGCTGCGGAGAGACGGATCGAAGATGGGATTCTGGAAGGCGGCGACGAGGCCGTAGAAAAGTGGTTGAGCGCCATGACTACTCCCGTACGGCGGCGGCTGGCTGCTACCAGCACGACCAGACCAGACCAGACCAAGCTTGTTTGGTAGGCACAGAGAGTGCTGCTGCTGCGGAAGGGCGTTTCGAAAGGCAGAGGCTCCCCTGTGCAAGTGAGAGGCCCTGGAGGCGGCTGGAGCCAGACGTGTCACAGACTTGGGCTTGGGGAGCGGGGCGGCGTCACGGCGTCGCAACGCAATTGGCGAGGTTCGGACGAGTGGTGGGTGTTTAGGGGTGGTGTCGGGCGGTCGTCTCGACTCTGTGGTGAAAGTATCGTACGGGCGAGGAGGTGGTTCGAGTGCCGCACCGCGCAGAGAGCGGGATGGAAGCCAAGCAAGAAGCGAGGCGAGTCGAGTTGAAGACTGTATCCGTCCGGTAGAACAAGCGAATGCCTACCACGGTATCTGTAATGTAATGGATGGATGGTACGTGGGGAAGACTCTTCGGTCGCGCTGACCAGGGGGCGGCCGGAGTCGCTATCTTTAGCTCGCTCGTTGGTCGCGGGAACCGTGTTGTTGTCGTCGGTGTTGTTGATCGTCGGAATTTGCGATGCGAAGGAGGAAGAAAGAAAAAACGGCGAGGCGGAGGAGAAAAGAAAAAAGACAAAGGAAGCAGTGAGGCTCGCCGCAGGCCGGAAGACGGCAAGGAGAGACAGCAGGACGGGAGTGCCGCTCTCTCTTTCTGAGGTGTCCTGGTGCTCCTTCTGTTCCTAGTGCTGGCTCAAATCAAACCAAAGTGGCTTTGCTGGGCGACACCCGGAGGCTTCGGTAACGCCCACATTGCCTGTGGAACTAGCGGGTGCAAGGTCACTTTTCATACACTTTTGTATGGAGCAGTACATTACTGCTGAGTGAGTGCGTGTGTGTGTGCTGTGGAAGGGGCGGATCGCTGGAGGGGGGAGGGGAGGCCTGATGCCGGGGGCGATTACGCAGACCGTAGCTGATGTATTCTCCCCGCCAGATCTGGCAAGGGAGGTACAAGCGACGCCTTTCTAGACTTTTTCTGTCTCTGCAGAATTATAGGTGACTCTCTGCAGCAACGCTCTGCAACTCGGTGTTCTTCTCAGCAAACCACATAAAGTACCATCTACTGCAGGCATCCTGCACCCTACACCTTTCCACCAGTTGAATCCTGCTGACCATACATAACAATCCCCCAGGTCACCTTACCTCCAGGTAGCACTTTGCAACGATCCATCCAGGAGGCCCCCCATTCGCCAGCCAAAACACCGAGCAGTGTCCCCCCGGTTTGACCCTCTCGGACCGGCTGCATCGGTACGTACCCCCCTGGCCCACGTTGCCTTCCCTTCGTGGCATAACCATAACCGCATTGAGTCCGTTTCCATTGGCCAAAGCTGTCCGTTCCCCGTCTTTTAAGCGGGGGCGCTGAGTAATGCCGTCATCGCCCAATCCCGTCGCAGATCCAGACGGTCGTCACCGGCAAAAACTGTTTGCCCAATTCTCCGTCTCCCGTTCTGCTGTCCACAGATACGTGTCGAGGAACGGGAACGCGTACAACGAAAAACACAGAAACACCGCCTCCGTTCTCACCGGCCCCTGCCAAGAACCCTCATTATTATTCCACATTGCCTGCGGATATTGCAAACTCAATCACAACACGCTAACCGCCCCAAAAGAAACCTGCTCGCCGCCCCGTTCTGTCCACTCCCTTATTATTCCCCAAGACTCCCAAGACGGCATCCCTATCCCTAGTGGCAAGCCGAGCAACTCAAGAAAAACAGCGCCTTGGCCCAAGGGAGCCAAGCTTGCCTTTTCTTGCCCATCATGACTTTACGAGCAAACGTCAATAAACGGTCTCACTGTCAATCGACCCCCTGACACGCCATAGCTTGCATTACCCGCACCGCCTGTCATACCGTCTTGTTCAACGGTTCTCATCCCATCTGCTTGCATTTTTGACAACATGCACAGAACGTAGGGGATCTCATGCAATCATAAACCGCTCGTCTCGCGGCATCTGCAATCGTCGCCTGCATCGAATGAACAGGGCTCGAGCGTGCTTTGCTGAGCATGCCTTGAGGCTGCACCTAGGCCTGCGCAAGTGTGAACCCTTACGAACACCTGGACGTGCCATTAATGCTGCCTCGCTTTCGAGAACTCTGCCATCAGACTCAGACTGGGTTATGGACCAGCGGTTCCTGCCTCAAGAGACTTAATCTGACATGACGGCCAAGCGACGGTGACGGTTCACAGCATGATAGGGTCCACGAACACCTGGTCTCAGCCGAGTCACCTTCTCTCGGGAGCGACGGATGTCATGCCCTCACAAAGGAACATGTCACCCACGATCAGGTGGTACCCTGCTTCACGGTCCGTTGTGTTACTGCTGCCCGAGTTTGGGAGGCTACCGGTTTGCGTGATATTGCATGATTATGCGATGACCAACCTTCCACCCAGACCACGTCCAAGAGGCATTTTCTGGTCATCATGAGCAGCATCACGATGCTTAGGAGGCATCCATCAAAGTATTACCAGATTCTTTCCATGGTGAGGCGCATACCTCCACAAATGGATGTGGCTAGGCTCAAAAAGTGGAAGATGCCCGAGAGGCTTGCTGGAGAGACGTTATTTGATTGAAGTGTGCTTTACGATGTTGAAATCACAATCAACCCAAAGTCGACCCATTGGCACCTCCATTGAGCTGCAATATTGCCATGGTAAGGTCATCAGAGTCCGCTTCATGTCACAGCCACGTCATTCATGTCCCCTTCGGAATGTCCCGTAGCACAGCTTCCGCAAGGAAATTAGAGGGAAACAGCAGCTTTGCCTCAAAGCCAATCTTTGCTACGCCGGA